CTCAACCCTAACGGACGGGGAGGGGCGGCGGCAACGATGGGAGGGCCAGCTCGGGGTAGCTCATGCTGGATCTTCTGTCCCAAGGAGGGGGCGGCGCCGCAGGGGGACGGCGAGGCGGTGGCGCAAGGAAGGGACGGCGAGGGGGAAGAGACAGGGGGGCGTGCGGGCGGCGGCGAGGGCGAAGACGGGCGGCGCATGGGTTGGGGAGCAGTCGAAGGCAATGAACCCATACAGAGAACCGGGTTGTACCCACAGTTTATAGCCCATAATACATCAAACGGTTTCAGCCCATATAACCAACTAACCCAAACTGGTTTCTCTCCAAACCCAAACCAAACCGAACTAAAGAAAGCCTCAGCCCAATAAAACCTAAACCAGTCAAGCCCATAATAAAAAACCAAACCATTTCAACCAGTTTTTCTAAAACCACTCCCAGATTTAGACGCAGGGAACCAAACACGCCCTTTATGTTTTGCAGGGAAAGACAAAAACGATGCAAGGGTGCCCATCTCGTGGCCACGGGCAGCACACACCGCCGCTTCCTCCTCCTCACCTTCCCCTCCCTCCACAGCCACTCCTCCCGGCAAGATGCCCACCATCATCTCCTCCTCCTAGACCTCAGCCGCGCCAGCCATGGCCGCCACCGCCACCGCCACCGCCGCCGCTTCCCTTTCCCTCCACCTCCGCCTCCGCCCTCCTCCCCATGCCCACCGCAGCCCCCTTCGCCATGCCCCGTTCCTCCTATCCCCTTCTCCGTCCACCCCTTGGCCTCCTCACCACCTTCACGTCGCTAACGGCCGGCTCCCTCCCCCTTGCCGCCCCTCTGTGAAGGCGCGGGCAGGTGCCATCGAGGCTCCGAGCCTCGCGCGCCTTGGGGGCGCCGTAGAGACCGACCGCCTCCCCGCCGACGTGCGCGACCGCGCCATGGACGCCGTCGACTACTTGGGCGGCCGCGTCACAATCGGCGACGTCGCCTCCCGCGCCGGCCTGCAGATTGACCAGGCAGAGCGCGCGCTCCAGGCTCTCGCGGCAGACACCGGGGGCTTCCTGGAGGTGCCCCCCGCCCCCGCGGCGCCCGCTACTTCGTGGCTAGCCTTCTTTCCGGCTGCGATCTGAGCGTGGAACTATTGTGATTTGTGTAGGTTTCGGGGGAAGGGGAGGTGCTGTACGTCTTCCCCGAAGACTACAGGGCGAAGCTCGCTGGCAAGTCATTCAGAATGCGGGTCGAGCCACTGGTCGATAAAGCCAAGGTGTTCCGTAGAGGCAACCAGCTGTCTTAATTCATCTGAGCAGGTGCTAATTTTAGTTATGTTCTGCCTCTTTGCAGGAAGCGGGTGCGTATCTGGCGCGGGTGTCTTTTGGGACAGCACTAGTTGCTTCCATTGTGCTTGTATATGCTACCATCATTGCCATTCTCTCAAGCTCGAGGTATGTATGCTATTGCAAGGTAGAGTTTGTGTGCACAGATTACTATATGCTTTACCTCCCAAGATAAGATACACAGTAGATGCCATTATGCCCTTAAGTTTTGAAGATTTTGTCAGCATTTTTTTGCGCATTATTATTGTATAATTTTCTGTGTTTAGGTACTTAAGCAAGATAATCTTTTATCCCCTATCCCCCTTCCAGTGATAGCACTTACTCTTCTTATAGCAGTGATGAAGATAATCGTGGAAGGCGGCGCAGATCCTATGGCTCTACGATGTTCCTCCCAACAGATTTATTTTGGTAAGTATCCTGTTTTAGTTGGGGATCTGGTAAAATATATAACTTCCCATGTGAATGTAAATCAGTTATGTACAGATTCTTATCATTTTCGATACAATCTCATGTGTTCTCCTCCAGGTACTTGGATGCAGGTTCCTCCAGGAGGAGGCGGGTAGAAAAAGATAAGGGGATGAGCTTTATTGAATCTGTAATTTAAACTGGCTTGACATGATTGTTCATTTTGTTTGTGTAATTCTGAGATGCACAGGTGGGATTAAATTGTATATTGTCTGATCAATGTTGTGCAGGTCTTCTCGTTTGTATTTGGGAATGGTGATCCTAATGACGGGCTTGAAGAGAGAAGGTGGAAGATGGTAAAGACTTTCTCAGCATGTAGCTGCTTCTATTTGACGTTCTCCGAACCAGTTACTACTATTTATTAGTTTTTCCAGTAGCAAATTTCAAGTGTCTCATTCAATAAATTCACAGATTGGGCAGTATATTTCATCGAATGGTGGAGTTGTTACGGCAGAAGAACTGGCACCGTATCTTGATGTACCGGCACCTGCAGAGCAAACCAACTCCAAGGCATATAACTTCTGTTCCAAAGCACTAATAAGTATTGCTTGTTTCTGTTAGACCTGATTAAGTTTTCCACTCGTTCATTGAATAGTAAATTAATTAAATGTATAAATAGGTAATCTCCATCCCATTTGTAACCCAAGTCCTTTATGCTATTGTCACAGTCTACAAGGTGAAACTAGAGCCGGCAATTTCTATGCGAATATGTTGACGAACATAATAATTATTATTCATTATGAAAGTACGTTTCATGACGAGATCTAGTAATATTAGTGATGTTATTGGTGTTAATAGTTATTTCTCTATAGATGTTCGAACCTAGAAATGTTTGTCTGGTGCATATTCTGAAAGGACATGTGTTGTGAGATACTGCTATTGTGAGGTATTTCCCCATTTATGGATTGGGTTGAATCTCATCTTATTCGTTCTATCTCTTGAATACAGGATGATGAATCATTTATTCTTCCAGTTCTTTTACGCTTCCAGGGACATCCTTTAGTTGACGATCAGGTCCACCTCTTCCCTCTCGTATATTTCAGGCTTTGATTAAAGAAAAATCATTAACCACATGTCCCTATATCGCTCTTCTCATTCTGACACCTTCAACCTCGTTATTTATTGGACATGACATGCTCGACATAACTGCCGATGAACTTAAGCCAATGTTTTTAAGGCGAGGCAAGGTTCTGTAGCACCACCTCACCTTTTAAGGGCGTTTTTGATGGTGTAGCTATACCATGTAGGATAATTGGTGACGTAGAAGAGAGAGAGAGAAAAAAGTCTTGCCTTCTCTTAGCTAAGAGATCTCTTATGAAGAAAGATTTGTTCCGAATTATAAGACGTTTTGGATATTTCAATATGGACAACATACGGACTGAAATGAGTGAACGAACACACTTAACGCATCTATATACATTCGATTTAGAAAAAGTCAGAACATCTTATTATAATTCTGAACGGAGGGAGTACAACACTTGTCCCCATTGCATGTGATATCTTATCTTATTCACACATTCACTAGTTTTAATTATAACCGTTCCATAATTTTAGTATCTCATAACATTAAATGCTACAAATAACACTAAGAGATAATCCATTGTATAACATGCTTTATTTTCTTCTCTAAATGACGTGGAATACATAAGAAAAGACCGCCTTATCATCCACTGTACATGCCCTAAGTGGTTAAAGCATAAAGCGAGGTGGCACCTTACACACATAAATATGTAATATATGGCAGCCAGTCAGGAGATCTAACAACTAACATTAACATAAAGTGCACCACAACTCTACAGGTTACATAACATGATACGGAGTAGCTGTTAGCAAAGCATAGGCTTGAAATCATCTTGTGTAGATGAGGAAATGGTGTCTTTGAAGTTTGGCCTCATCCTACTCGTCTATATATCACTCCATAGCTTTAAACTTTCTTGTGTATAAGAAATTGCGCATCTCTTCGCTAATTTAGACGGATGCCTTGTCACACTTATCCACATCGCTGATACCCATGAAAAGGTGCTGCTTCAGCCTTCTCACTGTGGCATGAACTATCTTTCCTGACAACATACACGAGTGTAAATATTTCCTCTCTAAATTTTGCCAGCACATACTTCCAAGCTGGATCGTAGGATGTAGCTCTTCTCCTAGGATCATTTGACATATCATAAGCATTACCAGTCGCAGGATACATCAGAGCAGGGACACTTGGCTATTGCAGCAACACTAAGAGAGGGCCAATCAGCCGTCAAAGAAAAAGAAAAGAGCCAATTACTAGAGCAACCAGATCAAGCATGAAGGAGAGAAGCGGTGGTGGAGCTATGACCATGTGGGTGGAGTCGTGTTGAAGCGGATGTTGGGAGGAAGCAAATGCGGATGGATATGGAGCTAGCAGATGTAGATGATAAAAAGTAGAGGCGGAGAAGAAAAGGAGCAAACGGAGGGTTGGCAGAAGAGAGAGGAGGAAGAAGAGAACGGAAGAGAAGCCATATCTTGCAACTGCTGGGGAAGATGGAAGAGAAGCCATACCTTGTAGCTGTCGGGGGAGTGTTTCACATCTGCCCAGAGGCTGGAGAGTAGCGACCGAGCAGGATGCTGGCGGATTTGCGCCAGAGGAGCTGAGATCAGAGAGAAACAATGATACAAGGAGAATAGTGAGGGTGGCTCGATCTTCACGAAGTGGAGGTTTATGAGGAAGAACACAACAAAAACACGAAGGTCAAAGGAAAAACTCGTGGATAACTAGTAATGCCAAGGCAACACCCTCTTGTATCGTAGATCCACACCACATGGTTAATGTGACTTCTTACAAATCCAAGGGAAAGCAAGAACGAGGTGGGAGTTTCTTCCGCAAGTCCTAGGATAGGGAGGACTTGAATTACACATGAGGACTCTTCTCCATGGAAGGTCTTGTGCTCGTAGGAGCCTTCAACCGGAAGTGGCATTGTACTCCTTGGAGTCTTTACCCATAACTGGCTTTGTACTCCAATGAAGTATTCTCTTTCCCTTGAGAGTTCTTGATCCCACTAGGGGAGGTCCTAGGATAAGGAGGACTTGAATTACACATGGGGACTCTTCTCCATGGAAGGAGGTCTTGTGCTTGTAAGAGCATTCACCGTAAGTGGCCTTGTACTCCTTGAGTATTTACCCATATAAGTGTTCTTGTACTCCAATGGATTACTCTCCCTTGAGAGTTCTTGATCCCACTAGGTGAGGATCCTATAAGGGGAGGAAGATGACCTAAGCTCTATCAATGAGATCTATTCTTACCTAACCACAAATCTAGGAGGGGAGGAGTATATATAGTCTAGCCAACAAAGGGGTAAGTGCGGAAGGGATACATGGGCCTTTGGCCCAGAACTGCACACAGGCAGGCGACCAGACAATCCGGTTGGGTATGGCCTATCCTGTTCAGTATGGCCTGGACAATCCCGGCCTGGAGCTTTAGCCGACGCAAGCATTGACATCGGATAGTCCATGGACTTGTCCGGGTCATGTAGAGTGGAACCCTAAGTTAATGATCTTTTCACATTTGGAGTGGGGAAAGAAAGCAAATCAAGAGAAGAATACATGATTAGCACTCAAATAGACATGATCCAATCAGACATATGCTAAATCCGCATACACATAGAGGGATACAAAGGTCCAAATCCAACACACGAGGATAAGTGGAACTAGTTCATCCCAATCCTTGGAAGGAGAGAGGTCATGAATCCAAAAGGATCTTCCCTAGGATTTGCTCCTCCGATCAAGAGAGATATACTCTGGGTCCCTCGTATGATCCGACCAAGATAAGCATGGCCATGCGACAAGGATTATGAGATAATCCGGTTTGTGGTCGGCATCACTGAAATGAGAAAGAGGTCAGGCTAGCACAAGGATGGCAGACTTGCCTTGAGCCCGACAACATATATCGTGTGGCAAAGGGAACAAAAGTGTGACATGTTGTACAGGTTCGCCAATCGGCTTCATTGTCTACTTGGTGGCTCGCACGCCTTGCTAGAGGCTGCCACCAGTCGAGCAGGTCGGAGGTGATCCGACCTGTGACCAAGCCGACTTGAACCTAAGGGGTCATTCGCTTAAGGGAAGGAACCCGTGAGGCCGGAACCGACTCCATGAGTCAGATGTGATCCTACTCGGACTCGGATCCAGGCCGAACAGACTTTGGGCTTTAGGATCCATGCAAGGCCCAAGTGCTGAGCCCGCGACGGATGCCTATATATAGTGGGAGTGCGGCACACTCATTCGGTTGATCGCTTTGGCGCCGTCATTAGGGCTTTGCAAGTGTTGCAACTAGCCACCTTCACTCGCCGTTGGTTGTGTGATCGGACCTAGTAGTCCGCCGCATGACGTATCTCTTGCACACGCGGATACTGTTAGAGGCGGTGCACTTGCGCTGCTCCGGTGAATCTGTTCGTGGGATCTGATCGGCTACGTTGGAGATGGACGAGGAGGAGACGACTCCGTAGACGCGCTGCCCCGACTTCACTTCCGCTGCACGACATTGCGCATCTAGTGGTAACGATCCGTGATCCATCTCCCGTAGCATGTTCTTGGTTGATCTGCGCGTAGGATTTTTTTATATTGCAGCCGATGCCCCTAACGTAGAACCCAACACATCTCACATAGAGGCCTTGAACTTCATGGGAGTGGTAAGTGGATGAGCAAAACTCAATCCCAAATGAGCTAAACCTTTGCTAACCCTAGCTAGGAGGAGAGGGTCCATATACAGTGTTCCACGAGATGAGAGGGGGAAAGAGGGGATACATGGGCTTCTGGCCCGGTTAAGCACTGGCAGGTGTCGGATGCCCGGGTTGGGGGTCGGATGTCTGGCGGTTCGCGTCGCGTCAGATGTCCGGGTTGGAGCTGGCCAAACTTCTGTCGCTCTCGGGTGTGCTCAGGCTAGATTTTCGGCCGGGGGCCGGATGTCTGGGGCAGTCGGGCCGGATGTCTGAGTCCTGGCAACTTGCAACGGCTGCTTTGCCGCGGTTGCCGCTGGACTAGGGGCGTCGGATATCCAGGCCAGGGGCCGGATGTCCAACAGCCATAGACTTCAATGGTCTCCTTCATTGTGCTTTATCATCCGTGTACTTGGGACTTGGTCTTCATTCCAAGCATCTTCGGGGTGGTCTTCCTTGTACCTAAGCACACATAGCATTCCGACTGGGATAGTAGCCATGTCTCACGTGGGTCATACGGAAGCTCATCAAGGAGAGATGTCACCTCGGTCTCGATAACTATTGCACGTGCTTGTGTCATCGGTCCATTTTGCACTTGGGGAGACGAAGGTAGGTCCATGGGGATGACCGCAGGATGCTCTGCATCACCCCCTCCTCCCTCCGTCATCGGGAAGATTTGTCCTCGCATCGAAATCCTCATCGCCATGGAAAGGAGATAGATCCTTGATGTTGAAGATGTTGCTCATGTTGTACTTGTTGCGTGCAATTTGATCTTGTAGGCATTGTTGTTGTAGCGTGCGAGCGCCTTGAATGGTCCATCGGTTCGAGGTAGTAGCTTGGACTTGCGCTCGTTGGGGAAACGGTCTTTGCGTAGGTGTAGCCACAGAACATCTTCGGGGGTGAACACCATGGGGTGCTTGTTGATGTTGAGCTTGGTAGCGAGGCGGTGCACTTGGTTCTCGATCGTTCGTCGTGTATCTTCATCCACCTTCTTAAGGTAACTTGCTTGTGCACGCGCGTTCATGTTGATGCGCTCTTATAGCATCTCCAGCAGACCCCGTAAAATGCCGACCCGCAAAACTCGTTTACAGTTCACGAAAATACGGGTTTGCGGGCCGACGCAGGCTGCGGCTGAGTAGACCCCGCGTAGCCGACCCGTAAAACAGAACCGAAAACCGCAGATTAGCCAATTTGACATCGATTCCGACAATTGAGTTTAAATTCGAAGAATAAAACATAGTTCGCGCGCAAATGAAAGTATAGTTTTCTATGACAAACGCAAAAGGACTTATGCAAAAGCAACGACCATGTCCATCATCATCTTGGTCGCTTTTC